GATTCGATTCGTGTTTTGGGGCTAATAAATCTTCATTTATGCCAATCTTGTATTCTTACTTTCGCATCGTGAGAACTGCCGAGGTGCCTCGTTACGAGTATAAGTGATCAGCGCTTTTGTTTGTTTTTGCGGCATAACAAAAACATATATTCTAATTTTAATCGATATGTGATGTAACGGCCTAGTCATTGTCCATTACTATTACCTATTAGGTAATCACTTTTATTCCGGCCTTATTACTTAACAAATTATGGATATTAATATTTAGAACTATTCAAACTCATAGGTAGCAAATTAACATAGTTTTATTCTGTGTTCGAATCTTACTTACTTACGCCTGTTACTCCCAATCGAGCATAGGCCGCCGACCAGCATTCTCCAACCCACTCTCTACTGGGCCTCCTTTTCTAGTTCCATCCAATTCTCAATCATTTTTCTCATGTCTATCTCCATTTCTCGGCGTAATGTGTTCTTTGGTCTTCCCTCCTCCTTTCACCTTGAAGGTTCCAAGTAAGAGCTTGTCTTGTGACGCAGTTGGGTGCTTTCCTCAATGTGTGTCCTATCCACTTCCAGAGCTTCTTCCTGATTTCTTCCTCCGCTGGGATCTGGTTTGTTCTCTTCCACAGTGTTTGAATCTGATATCATCTAAATTTCCATTTCGCTCGTATTTCTGCTTCAATCACTTCGTATATGGCATTTATCTTCTTCTACTTATATCACGTAACGGTTTTTCTTACCAAAAAACTTTACGAATAATCGTCATTTGTAATTCTTTCGAAGAAACTTGGAATAGTAACCTCATTAATAGTACTGTAATTTTCAGTACTTCCTTTCAATCCAATGTTTTTCTAGTTTGTAAAAATGAAAGCCTGATTTCGTGAAACACAACCTTTCAATGTATTATGATATAATACTGGCAATGGTAATCAACAGATGATTTGGAGCTGAACATTATCGATTAGTTGAAGTAATTATTAATGGATGTAAGTTTATCTAAATTGGAAATCTTTTCACGTTTTATTAGGTGGATTTACTCGAAAGGCGATTCCAGTCAACTTATGAGGTTGTATATTATGCATTTTGACGAACCGGTAAGAACTTGGAAAGTTGATGATGAAAGTTAACAGAACTAATCCAACTGTTACATTTGAATTGATTAGTCATGACATATAATTAAATGATTCTGATCTTGTACAGAAGCAATGATGTGAATTTTTATCTAACTTCAAAGATGTACCATAAACTAGATCTAAAACCTATCCTCCAAAAAATTATTCTCTAGGAAACTAATCTTACCTATTGAGGTAAAAATGTCAATCCATGCTCGACGAACTTTACAGGATAGAGATATGTTTCCATTTAGGTTTTACTTCATTCAAGGGAAACACTAAAGGGGTTCGAGTAATTAGATATTAAAGTCCTGTCAAGCAAAGATTTCAGTAATCTTCCAGAAGAAATAAAAACATTACTCAGACCCTCGAAATACATTACGAGGGGAATTCCATTATGTTAAGGAATTTGTTGGAAAAAAATTCACAAATATTAATAAGGGGCTTTAAAGAATTACCATAAACTTAACACCTTCGTTTACTCTCAAGCTTTTATACTGGTTGGATTAAATGTTAGTTATTAAAAGTTATAAAGTGACTAATCCTAGGAAGACGTTAATTGATAAAATCGCCTACTGTTAGTTTGATATGTATGGAGAGCTTTAATTTTAATAATTTCAATTGTATGTAGAATGAAAGAGGTTATCACTGTTTGTAATTCAGTTAAGCAACTATTCACACTCTAACGTCTGATTAGTCCAACCGTACACAGTGAAAGTACAAAAGCTATCCAGGACACTATTATCAAATAGACATAGATACTTAATAGTAAACAAACTGATCTCCATAGGAAGCTCTAAGAGCAGCTCGTGACTAAATGGATAGACCATTTCCTCACCACAACGTATCCACGATTATATTTGACATCACATGACTTGTTTAGTTTGCTCACTGTATCAGTATTGTTCCACGAATAATGGGCTATGTAACTAACAATTTAAAATAGAACCTGTTACTTTACCAAAAAAAATGACAATCACCTTACTCATGCTTTTGATGATAGTTGGAATATCACGGTAGAATAAAACATTTTTGTTGATAGGTTTATCAAATTGTGCTGATAATTGGTGTGAAAATGTCAATCTGAAGTTTGTGCTGATGATGTCGTTCAAAAGAACGACCAAACCATCCAGCTCAGAGAACAAAACTGCATCAAAAAGTTAATCAATGTATATATGTGCCCAGCTTTTACGTTGCTTATAACTGGTTGAATTCAAGTCCCTAAGTGAACATCAACAGTGATATTTAACCGACTTGTGCCGAATAGGACTAAAAGATAGTTCTATATTCTATAGATAACCGCATACCAAGTGTGCTATAGTAATATATATAAAATTTCGAAGAAAGAGCGAAATTAGAGAATGAGACATATTAGTGAAGACTGGGATCGATTTACAAACCATTTCGCCTCAGGTCTTTAGTCATTATTTTAGTTCATCGGTTAAATACATTTACACCACGATGATAAATACGGATAATACCGAGATATACCCAATCGTAATGGGTATTGGAACAGCTAAATTATCGAGTTACAGTCTTTCAATAAAAGGTTTATTTGAGGAAAAAATAGTACACTTCCCAACAAAGCCGTGGCCAGTGGAGTTAATCCATGTCGGGTAGAGACAGGTATCTACCTCGGTACAATGGAAGATGGTCGTGCAATTTCGTAGATTGGTTGAGGTTAGACATTAACACCATTGGATGTCGACTCAGTGATCCAGTAGGTTAAGCGTTCGCGCGCTTGACAGAAAGGCCTGGGTTCGAATCTCCCAAGCGGGATTGTGGATGCGCACTGCTGAGGAGTCCCACAATGGGACGAAACGGCAGTTCAGTGCCTCCAGGTTTTCAATGGTTGTCTAACACCAATCAGTTCATGATCCTAATTAGAAACTTAATAATATCCACAACCCCTATACTGATAATTCCCACTTTGTTTACAAAATTTAACTTTTAAATAATTATTCCTAATATATCACTGTAGTCGGCACAAAATACAGGAACATACTAAAAATAGTAGAAGCAAAACTCAATAATCGAATACGTGTATTTTTATGAGTTAACAATAGTTGTTATTGGGCAACCTTAACTTTAAACAGTCAAATCAAACAGATAGTCAGCTTAGTTTTAATTTGCATAACAATAAGGCATATGAGTATCTGCCTGTATTCACATGCCATATCAAGGTCAAAAGGTAAGTGGGGGGGGATACAAACCTGGAGCGCTATTGCATTAAGCAGATTATGCACCTGGTTCACGGTTTCAGCCAACATGTCCATGTATTTATGAGAAAAAGAGATGTATACCGACGGTTTATATAAATTTTATTTCATTTGCCGACTACAATTTCCTAGTTATTTCTCAGTCTTCTCACTTACCTAAAAAGGTGAGTAAACGTATAGAATGCGTTTTTGTATCTGAACTGAACGATAGTAGAACATAACATATTAACAGAACCACAAACCAACCAATCACTATGTGTATGATATGACTAAGACAAGTGACACGATAACATAGAACATATTGCACTGAACAACGAAGATGATTTCTCCCACCATTTCAAAACCTTAAATCTTATTGAAACGAGCGCAGGAGTCTCAGAAAATAACAATTGGCTTGTGACGGTGGATAATTATCGTCAAACAAAAAAGCACTCTTGTATATACATCTCCAATCAAACGTAATTTATAAATAAAAATGGTTGGATAATACATTATAAATGATCCGACAGTGAATTAAACTGATCAATAGAACTATACAGACCATTTATAGCAACATTGATCAAAATGTGAATTAGAAACAAAAATTTCTAATTAAAAGGTAAACAACCTACAATGTTGGTATTTAGCAACGTCACCACGTATTAGTATATGGTTAAAACTATACTTACTAAACTATGGTATTGGAGACAACATTCGCATGACGTCTAATTAATGCTATTCCGATGTATTTACTAAAGTTAATGACCCATTGGACAGGATTTTAAATATTCTATATCAATAAGCCACCATTTATATCCACCACAAATTAGTAACTAATACATAGTGAGATATATAGACGCCCAAAGTTGTTTATTAATCACGAACCATTATATACAGGTATATGGAGTGAAAAATCTCAACCATTATGATACATAATAATTCTGTAGAAGAAAAATGCTACAATAACTAACTAAGTAAGACTTGACATACATGATACTGATCACCACCCAGTGATCTATCAATTGTGATTACACCTCAGTCCTACAGGGGGGTGGGTGCGGCCCAGATAGCTCAATGGTTACGTCTCTGACTGTGAAGCTGGGTGACACGGGGCCGAACCGTCAGGGAGCACCAGTCCTCAAGATTACAGGTGCACCTTGCTGACGAGTGCCAAGTAGCACGAAACTCGGACCCAGGGTTTCCTATTGACTACCTCCAACCACCATCTTATCTCAACATAGTGTACGTAATGTCGAGTCACCTTGACTAGTGGCCACATTGCAACTTGGTCGATAGCATTCGACCTGCACTAAGAAGGACTTGATACACATGACACTGATTACCACCTAATGATCGATGAATTGTAACTAACTGGTTGGATAAGACAATAAACTGTGGAATTAAACATGATTTATTTCAAGTAGCACCTATATATCACACTTATGAGCATATATGAACAGAAAACTTAAGTTTAAAGCTGTCACTAATCTACCATGTATATTAATATGTACACACACATACATTCACACTATGGTCAACTCATATGAAAACGATTAATTCAACATGAAAGGATTGACAAAATTACACAAAAAATCAACACAGTTAAGCAATTAATCCGGAAAAGTAATCAGCGATAAACGAGGCCGATACATACTATCAATCTTATTCAAGTAAAAAAAATATTTTTTAAAACGGGTGCAGCCGTCCAACTAGATCCAACTGTTTGACCATTAACTACAAGAAAATTTGGCAATGGAACACGTATGATGCGCATATGAAGATTCATTAATTGATTTGGAAGATTAATAGTAGGTTCATTAGAAAATTGAGCATTCGATTCAGACTTTGTACAGTTAACATTGCTACCACCACTACTACTTAATTCGTTGTCAGTAGTAGTGGTTGTAGTAGTAGTCGACGCCGTAGATGTACGAAGGTATGAAAACTTCTCTATCATATCACATAGATATTGATTGTCTAAAATTGACAATGCATTTAGACATGCATGTAATACGAAGCCTTCAATTAAAATTTCTTCAACAAACGGGTGAGGTATAGCAATGATGTCTTTCCGAGTTGGTCCAACACCCTGAAATTAAAATTGTAGAGGGGAAAAGCAAAGTGTAAAACATTGGATGGATGGAATTTTATTCAATATGAATATAAATGTTATTCAACAGCCAATTTCAGGATAGGGAGAAAACACGTAGTTTAGATAAATACTTTTGTCAGTTATATGTTCCTTTGGGCCGTAACTATTTGATTGATCACGGATTATACGATTGATTGAACACTGTTTTTAGTCATAAACAGGGTCATCTAAACGGACTAATTTAACGATTATGGAAAAAAATCAAACGGTTCACTTCGGATTGAAAGAGACAATGGTTTTTATTCAGAATTACGAGCGTTCCACAACGAAGCTATCTAGTTTTTACACAACACAACTACACACCGAAAACTGACTGCTTGATGAAGTGTTCATTTTTCAACTTCAACAAAACATCTGTTCTATAACAAATAGTTAAAAGTTGTGTTAACTTTGTTTCTGTTACCGTTATTAAAAACCAAATGTGACGGACAGGCTTTCATGTTAAGATGATCTATTCGAGTCACATTGACTGTAGCAATTCTTCCTTTAGGATCGTACAACTCCAATCAGGTAGGCCGCAGAACAGTAAGACCAAAATATAACAGATCTTAAGCATGAAAGCGTAGTCATACTATTGACTGTACTTCAAAGAGCAAAAGCAGTACAATTTTTCCAACAAACAACCAACATCTGAAGAAAAGCTACCTTCTCCTAAGGGAAGTAGGGTCAGAAAAGGTCAGACTTAAAAGTAACACACCTAACCTTGCCCCATGGTTTCCTGTCCTGAGTCAACACATTTTAAACTAATGAAAAAACGAGTGTAAAGAGCTTTAAGCAGTTTTCGATTGACACTGGAGCCATATTTACGGATCCGTAAGACCATTCCAAACCCAGTTTCGCTTTTAGGTACTCCAGGATGTAGGCATCCAGTGTGGACGAGCGGAAATTGACAACCACCAACAGATCTTAAAACAAACTTGGTTCTATTTTAATGATGTATGATTGAGTCAGTTGGTCAATGGTTCTATTTTTTGTACCTGTCCAGTCTGTAGTGACATGTGTAGAGCCTAAGAAGATTGTCTCGATACTGCCATTTCTGGTCACAAACAAAAATCCCCTACAAATAGAATCCATACCAGTTAGACTCAATAGTTCAAAGGATAACACGTCAGTGTTCGAAGTAAAAAAGTACTAGGTTTAAGTTTCAATGTGAACATAAACATACTGAGATATAAACACAATTCAGCTGATGGATTCTAGATAACAGGAAATACGTATACATGAACACCGATTACCGCGACGTGCAATGCTAACCGGTATCGGAGATGGTTGGAAGAAAGTTAGGGGCGGCCAAACCAAAACATGGTATCAGTGCTTGAAGTCACTAACTTCTAGTCTGAGCCATGTAGGTAAATGCACAAAAAATGGTTGGGGACCGCGTGACTATCGTAACCAATGGTTGGAGACTCAGGGTGACATGGCTCAGAATCAACCACAATGGCGTAGGTGTATACACTCTCTGTCTTCCCCTAAACTGTGAGATTAAAATTGCTTTATATCTTTCTATTAACTAATTCTTTCTCTTACACATTACTACCATCGATGTGACTACTTCTATGAATTCGGTGTTCATCTTGTTGTACTAATGAAGTATGGCAACTTGGACCGATGCATATATGTGCTTGGTCCTCCGTTGTAGCTGACTGACTGGATTAAATGTATATTGAATTCCAGTGTTAGCTACCACAATCCAACTTTAATCATCGTTTGTATTATTAATTATTCCCTTATCTTAAAAAAAAACTAACTTTTCCAACATTATACAATCGTACAGCAAACGGGGTACCATATGGATCGATTAAAAGTAAATTTAATGCTAAATCAGAATCATTAGGTAATTCAGCAAATACACGTCCAATGCATACAGTGTTCTTGTTGAATCCTACCTAAAGAAGCAAAACGAAACAAACAAGTGGTTCTTTTCAATAAAAATTAATCTAACTAAAATAAACAAAATATTGAACGTAATTAAATTATACGAATGATGTTATCAATTGAAATGATTGTGATATGTATTGTGTATGCACAATTACCATCTCGATGCGCGATGATGACTGGTATAGGAATATTCTGGAGGAAAGTTAAAAGCAGGCCAAATCAAAACGTGGCAACAATTCATAAAGAAAGTCACTAGTGAAATGATTCATGTAGGTAAGTGCAGACTATGTGGTTGCGATCCACGTGATGATGATAACTCATGATTAAAGAATTCAAGTGACATAACTAGAAATCATTCGTAATGGCTCAGAATGCTCATTTATTCTTTGTTTTTCCTTTAATCCTAAATTTTTAAGTAACCTTGTGCAAAAATCCTCTCTTAATCTATCAATCCATATTTTATTCTCTAATCGTATCCTTGATGCCTAATCTTCTCAATTACCTACACTACTCTTGGATTCGCTTTGACAATTTAATCTTGCTATGCTAATGAGGTGTCACAACTTGAACCGGTGCATACATGTATCAGGTTCTACATTTGGTATGACTGAGTGACATGAATAATGAGTTGTATCACGAATTGATTTCATATTGTATAAAGACAAGCTACAGAGATGTATACATCTTAGTGCTAATGCTGAGCCAAAAAGAAATATATTTTTTAGAGACATAACATAAAATATGGCAAATCACTATTTTTTTATCATTTCATATAACCGAATTTAAAGTGTTCAATTAGTCAGCTTTGAAGTCACATATTCATGGATCACAATAACAAAATATTAGCCACTTTGTTATTGATTCATGTCTAAATCACAGTAATGGGTTATTTGCTAAGAGTCCTAATATTTATTTTTGCGATTTGTTCAGTTCAGCCTACTTACTTACTTACTTACGCCTGTTACTCCCAATCGAGCATAGGCCGCCGACCAGCATTCTCCAACCCACTCTGTCCTGAGCCTTCTTTTCTAGTTCCATCCAATTCTCGTTCATTTTCTCATGCCTGTCTCCATTTCTCGACGTAATGTGTTCTTTGGTCGTCCTCTTCTCCTTTGGCCTTCAGGATTCCATGTGAGGGCTTGTTTTGTGACGCAGTTGAGTGCTTTCCTCAATGTGTGTCCTGTCCACTTCCAGCGCTTCTTCCTAATTTCTTCCTCCGCTGCGATCTGGTTTGTTCTCTCCCACAGTAGGTTGTTGCTAATAGTGTCCGGCCAACGGATCCGAAGTATTTTGCGTAGACAACTGTTAATAAACACCTGTATCTTCTGGATGATGGCTTTCGTAGTTCTCCAGGTTTCCGTCCCATACAGTAGAACTGTCTTAATATTTGTATTGAAAATCTTAACCTTGGTGTTGGTTCAGCCTACGGTAACTGTTAATTATCAAATGTCGAGATACGAACAGGATCTACTGAAAACTAAGTGCTACGGCATTTGACACAAATATCTAATAAACAAATAAAATGATATGTAATTCTTGAACTCATTTTTTCCGACATCTTGTTGGTCTTAAGTTTTGTTAAAAATCAGGAAGGTAATGACTTTTATTGATTTTATGGCTTTTACTATGCTATCTCATATGACGTAATAAATTTTATGGTGAGACTATAATTTGTAGACGACCCATAAGCCGACACACAACCACATATTAGGGTCGAAAGAGGGTTATAAATTAGTACGATAAATTAGTATTAAGATTTAGAGTTAGAAGTTACGGGTAAAGAATTAGGATGAGGGTTTTCAATTTTTAATTAAGATCATGAACCCATCAATGTTAGAGCATCCTTGAAAATCTGGAAGTACTAGACGGCCGTTTCGTCCTAGTATGGAACTGCTGAGGAGTCCCATACCAAGATGGAACAAATTGTAAACTTTGACCCTAACCCACTTTTCGGTTAGTATGTAACAAATTATCCACTTATACCACCTTTACTCTGATTAGCTAAAAACAGATGACACTTTCAAAGATCACCACAAGAGTCCTCCTTAGGGTTATCACAGTATTCTTTCGCCAAAAATGTTTTACACTAACAAAACCAATTAAAAATAATAACGATAAGTTGAATAATTACTTGTAAATTACTGAATGGAGCAAACTGCAAACAATGTGAATTAGCCAATGAATTTGACCGACTGTCATTAGTACTTGATGAATCGGTTAACGTGTCGTTATTATTATTGTTTTTACTACTATATTTAGAAGCTTTCAAGTGTTTTTTCTTCTTACTACCAATTTTATTCCATTTTGTTTGGAAATTTGATCCAGATTTATTTTTATCATTGCCAGAAAATGGACAATAAGGTCCCAGTAGACGATTTAACGCTGATATCTCTTTGGGATTCAATGATGATACGTTTTGACTTATATCTGATTGGTCGAGGACAACACTATTACTGTTATTATTATCATCATTGTTATTATTATTACTGCTAGACGAATCTGTATTCGTTGTATTGCTACTTTCAAGCACAGTTGTCACCATCAATTTCTTTAACGGACTAAGAGGTGAAATAAACTCATCTTCATTATTCATTTGTTGGTGTTGTTTTTCAACTGATGATTTGTGATTAATGGAACTTGTCTTTAATGTGCTAGATGATAATTCTGTTTGATCTGATTTGATTTCTGTAGAGTGAATATGAATTGATTGTTTTTTGTGGAATTGTTCCATTAATTTATGCCACTCCATAACAAATTTAATAATACGTTTAATACCATATTGTGGAGCAGGCCAGCCTGGATCTAAACAAACAGCCTGTAGCCAACATTTCAATGTTTGTCCAAATAAATCCTATGAAATGTGGAATAAAGAAAGCGAGGATTGAAACGGAGAACATTACATACCAATTAAATGAATATTTTAGTGAAAATTTTCTATATAAGTTGTATTCATCTCAGATTGATTTTAGTTGGCATACAAGTAATTTGATTGTTGATGTTAGCCGCGTCGGTAGATATAGACCGATTAGTTGGGGTCCAAAATATAACCGCGAACAGTGGTTAAAGAACTTGAGTGTTAGAACTCAGAATTAACCATAATGATGGAGGTGGATTTATCCTTTACCTTACTCTCGATTTTCAGGAATTCCTTATCAATCCACCATTTCCAACCAAATTACTGTTAAAAATGCTTTAGTTCGTATAAAGAATAATATTCCCTTTATACCAACACAAAATTGTGTCTACAATCTACGATGTGTCAATTATGATCCCTTCTGCATTGAAGAGTCATCATATGAAATCTTGACCCGAGCGAAAGAACATCTTAGATATACAAAAAAACGACATAATAATCCTATAGAAATAAAACAACCCCAAATTAGATCGGTAGTAGCAATGAATGCTATTTTCAATAACTATCAAGTTGATATTAAAAATATCAAAATAATACAAAAAGGCTTTTCCAACTACAAATGAAGGCGAATAGCTGAAGCTTTTCATATACTGCTAAATCCCAATACCCTCAATAAAAAAGAAGGCCTTAATATCCATCCGACTTAGACGATCTATCCGAGCTACCATGTCTGATTCTATTAACATCTCACATTTATTATACGTACAAATTCAGTTCTATCCTTTCACACGACAAATGTTACATTTTTAATTAGTCAATACATACTAATAATACAAGCATATCTCGCATAAGTCACATAGATCGGAGTGACATCACGTTGACTTGGTCAAACCTGTTTTGTAATCGTACTAAGTATTCTTGTTTTGTTCCTTTGCACTACTTTGTTATGTTCTATACTTGATTAACACAGAATATGATATACAACTAACGACACTTTAACGTATACAACCTCTTACAGTCGCAAATCAGAAGACAGAAGAAAGCAGAAGTGCTTGTTGGGTAAGAATCAAAAACGTACAGAAAAACATAGGTATTTATAGATATTAGCGTTAGCTATAACATCATTATAATCCAGCCACTCCGCAAGAAGACTAATTCTACTACTGTCCAATCGTAGCATGGCACGTTGATATTCTAGGAAGCTTCATCAGGTTCTGATTAGGTGGGAACCCTTCGGCTCTTTTAAAGCCTCTGAAGGCTTCGTCCTGCTTCTCGAAAACCGTTCCAACATACTTAAACTTGGGTTAATTTAATTTGTTCATTGATTTACTAAAGAAGTGGCTTACACCAAATCACGAAACGTAAATAAATTTAATTTTCCTACCTATTGGAGTATTACAAATACATTACATTATATTCTAAGATACTTCACTTTGTAGAGTATGCTACTATCAGTGTGATTTAAATGTAAAGCTTCCAGCTAAAAATCAAAGTGGATTCCGGCATTTTTAAAAGGTAATTTGAACTAATCTACTTCATCTTTAAATATGAAGGTTACCCTAAATATTTTTTTATTTTCCCATTAGAAAATAATCACATTTAAGTTTTCGAATAACGCCAAAAATCAACTGTGGTTTACATTTATTATTCACACTCGCATATGTAGTATAAAAACAATTTTCCATCCATTTCCTCCCCTACTACCAATCATGTACACCTTAAACCTGTTATCCAATAGTATTGATACTTTCAAAATGATGTAATTAGTTACTATTGTTGTTTAAAGATGGATACAAAAGCCAATAATGTGTCTAATGATTACCTTTTGCAATAACAATAAGCTCTAGTAATCACATTGTCATTAGTTTGGATCCAATTTCAAATGTGGTAGCAACCAGAGATAATTTATTTCTCAACATACTACATCTTTACATAAATAGAGACAAAAAAAGTGCATCTGAACATAATGAGGATACATTTCTATTACACTTAAGCCAATCAATATTTACAGTCGTGTTATCAAAATTTACTGTTAGGGATAAAGGAGAAAAACCATAATAGTTTTAATATCAGCCTGTGTTCCGCATTTGCTTTAGTCATCTAACAGTAGAATTGAATGTAACTTTTAACAGCGCTGTACGTAATCGCATACAGGGAGTTAGAGTTGTGCTCTATTGCATGAAGACTAGTAATAATAATATTGTATGTATGTTTTAGCGTCGGCAGATAAATCGAGAGCTGAATTCGTGATTCACTAGTATTATGTTCAACAGTACAAAACACACACATATACAAACATATATTGTGATTACCCAAACAACCCAGTAATGAACAAATACATGGTAAGACAACGCATCCTAAACCAATTTCAATTAAAACATATGCATAACTCGACAGAAAAAAATCTCATATCGTCTGATAGAAAAAAAGAAAACAAGGAAAAAAACGACAGAACTATTTGCCCTTACCTGATAATGCCAAGCTAAACCACGATTATAATGAAAGTTCGGCTCTAATGCAATTGAACGATCTTTGACAGCTTGTGCGTATGCAGCAATACATCGTGTCATAATAAGTTGTGGTGATGATGAGATCAGTGTAGATTTATTGATTGATGAATTTTTGTCATATGATGAAACAGTGGTTGGTGTAATAGTTGAACTAAAACTTTTAAAAAATAAAGTTAGTAATGCATTGCCTAGTATAGACCATGCATAACCATTTGTAGGCTGTTGACTAACTGCTTGATGAGCTAAATCAACAGATTGATGAAAAATAGAGCATTTCATCGGCGTATCCGACGATGATGGTGAGGAGGAGAGAGATTTAGTTTTATCAGATTCATATGATGATATATTATCAATATTCTCACTAATATTAGTAGTAGTATTAGGTGGCTGACGTAATACCATTGACAAATTACAAAGTGCCTTTACATATTTTGGCTAGAGTTAGCAAAAATAAAAATTAATTAAACAATTTATTGACTGAACCGGGATAAAAATCGTTTAAACTAGTATTCAAGTACTTTTAATGTAATTCTTGTGACTCGAAATGTTATGATCATACTGAAAATCATTAACACCCAAAGCAACCATTGAACAACCCAGTGAATGATACAACCTCAATGATAAAAGGTGCAGTTAGAAAACATCGGTCACGAAACTATCATTAACCATTACTAATCTACTGTGACAAAAACATGGTAATAATAAATTATTTTATGGCTTACAACATGAACTAAACTTAGACAGCTATTGAAAACCAGGAATTAACGGTCGGATATCTCGTCCTAGTTGATACACTCTCTTCAAAAGTAACCACGAACATACCACTGAGAATCGAAATCTGGACCTTGATGTCTCAAGCAGATCGCTTAATCTATAGAAAAATGAGGCATCCAGTGGTTTGTTTACTCGCGTAACTCCAGTCGACTCACGATAATGCTCATCTCCCAGTCCAATTAATGGGTGACTAATTACCTTACATTCTATATAAGTGAACTCTTCTGTCCACGACCTCTCACTACAATTATGAGGATTATGTCTTGAAATCAGTCATTATTGGCAGCATAATTAGTGCAAGTGGATTGTGGAGATTGTTGAGTTTTATAGCTTAAATCAAACTGTATACTAACAAGTTAATTGTCCAGTACATACTAAAAAATTAGGCAGTACTACATAAGTTTCAATGAGAAATCAAAGTATATTAAAACAACTTAACGAACAGTAAATAAAACATACATTTATTTTTAATGCTTGTCGAAAATGATCTGCAGCTCGGCAAGGATCACCTTGTCGCCAACATGAGTCACCTAATTCACACCATGCTTCTAAATGTTGTGGATTAAATTTTAACGCTTTAGTTAACCACTGAACTGCTGGACTCGTGAAATCATTGACAGTATCATTATCATCATCACCAGTCATATCATGAAGACTACTAATGTTACCAGCATACAAATCTGAATCAATCGCATTGAAAGCCTAAGTACACACATGTGTTTTGATTAAAAAAATAAAATGTTAAAAAAAAACAGAATTAGAGATTATGTGACATAAAATCAATGTTGTTCACGTGTTACTCATGAGCTGGATACTATAAAGTGACATAACAAAACTTTCACCTAACACATTTACATCCTAATTGACTGGAGGATGAACGACCTGCAAAATCAGCATTATCCAACCCTTTATGACCTCTAATCACATGATTTTTAGTACGTATTATTTTTTGTGTAAGTATATTATTTCATTAAGGAAAAAATTCATTCTACTAAGTAGTAGTCTTGTCCTCAACATCAGTTCATTTGCGATTATGAGTTAATTATCCGGTTGTAAAAGTAGTTACTACTTCCTGAATTAGTATCATTACGTTCATCTGTCGATTAGCGTTCTATTCATTCTAATAATCTAAAACTATTTCAGTGTTCAATATTAAGTCTACCATTAACAAGAACCAAAATCAACTGTAACTTTGTGTTTTAAATTATGAAGCTACTACTACTAGGTTGTAAGCAGAGATGGATGGCGGCCAACAAATGAAATCTATGACTAACATTTCCTCTTATTTGGAACTCGTCAGCTGGATGTACCTGTACCCCAGAGTTGATGTTCACTCTCGAATTCAAAGCCAATATCGTTCGCTCCCAATGCCATCGAGTTACCCACTTAGCTACTGAGTTCAGATAGCCAATGGCTTATGCAATGAAGTGAAGTTTAGTTCATTTATATTAGTTGTTCGAATCTTCGGATCGATGTTTAGAACTGCAACTGATCAGTCAGAGCAATCCGCACAAGTTGCATACACACCAAAAAGAGAACAATCAACTGAAGTCCTAAACATCAGTGGGAAGACTCAAACTACCAATACAAATGAACTATTACTAGGTTGTTACTAAGTTGACAAATAATATAAGGATTTGAATTTGTGTAATTGTGCTAGGAAATAAAACATTTAGAGTATTCTTTAACTGCAATATTACTATAGAACTGAGTTAATAAATAAATACTGAATAATCAAAAATCATATGAATAAAAAATATGGTCAAAAAAGCATGAACATTTCACTGGTTCCAATAGATCTGCTTTCCGAAATCTCTGATAGTCAAGTAGAAAACTGTTAGTCCACATAAAATAAAGTATGGTTTATGGTCAGTCTGTTATATGAAAGTGTATTTAACTGATAAACTTTAACGGACGTACGAAAGTTTTCATTGACTATTTTAATTTTAATCGGTGTGAAACCTGAGAAGAAAATAATTGTTGTCACAACCTATATATTAACAAAATAAAGGAGGAAATTAGGAATCAACTAACCACAGCCTATCTTGACGGGCGATTTCATCAGGAAGAAAGCTAGGAGTAAGCCAAGTCAAGACGTTGCGTCAGTCCATAAAGAAACTGATTGTCGGAGTGAGACATGCAGATAGATGCAAACTACCTGGTTAGGATGCGTACGATTACCATGACCCTTAGTCATATACTTTAGATGACAAGACCCAGAATTGTTCGTATTGGCGCAACAGGTGAAGCAAAGATTGTCAGGTTGGACTTAATTCATAATATATACTGTCAGTTGAGGTTGTAAATATTCATGGATTAAGGTAGATAAACTGTGTATTACGTATCATCAACTGCCGCAAAAACACCTCAACGACCGATGTTGATAGGAGTAGAGAAGTATTAATTCTAAAGAAGACTAGGAACGGCCACAGCGAAACGTGGCAACAGTCCATGAAGTGATTGATTGTTATTCTGCGCACTGTCGATAGGTCCAGACTGGCAATATTTGAAGTCGTTGGAGAAAATGTCTTAGAATCAGTTAAAATAGCATATATCCATTCATTTCCTGTCTTCTCTTAGATTTTTGAGTTTGAAAATCACTTTATAATTGTCATTCTATGGATTCATTCTTTGTGAACTATATATATCCAATTGTTTTTACTATCACTGATACTATGCCTACTTCTACCAATTTGGTAATATCTCGATATTATCACCTCTTATTGTACTGAATGCTCTGATAACTTGGATTGATGAACATGTCCTAGGTTCTACGTTGCTGATAATTGACTGACTGACTATCTTCCATTCCAGTAGTCTCTAAAGCAAAAGGTCTTCAGATCCAGTGATTAAGAACTCCCATTACTGTGATCACTGATTAAAACTACCTGTTAAATGAATTAGTCCCTTGTATAAATTTCGATAGAACAATGAGATCAGATTAACTCCGTCTTCTTACTGTTCTATCAAAACTACCTATTAGTAAGAAAACTTAACATTCGAATTTCTCAGCTTAATAAAAAATAGCTATAGCATTTTAATCAGAACAATCAGTTCTGTATACGATTAATATACACACTAACAATTAAATGTTCCTAGCCCGCTTACAGTAACGAAAATCAAACTAATTAATCCAATGAACGTTAATGTGTGACTGTATAATTCAAGAAACAACTGCTTGAAGGCGGTCGCGGAACGTTTTTTCGTGTTAGCTCCGCACTTCAGAAGGCATTACCATCGGGAGTGACGGAAATCTGTAAGGTAGAGTGAGTTCTGACATTCTTAGGGTCGATCTTCTCCAATCTCTTCTTTCCGTTGTCAAAAGGCACCATCGTTGCAGATGCCGCTTTCCCAAGAAAAGTATCTTACCGATGTCTTACCCCTCTACAGTCAGCAGTACAACTTCGCTATCGGACCTCAAGTTGCTGCTTCTAGTCTAAACGTCCTCTAACCAACCTACCTGGCACGGTGGGACCTAGATGAACATTTATTCTAGACAATATAACTCAATCGAGTCATCAAAAAAGGCGAGCTCAACTTTTACATCGAGATAACAGCTACAGTTGAGTAGTACCTGGTATATGCGTATTCTGAACATATCGTCTCGATACTGCCATGTACCAATAAGTTTTTACTAAAATTGGATAGTTAATACTAGTAGAATCGATCATCCGATCAACGACGTTAAAACAGAAATCGTCACAAATGAACCTCATTAGTTGCACAAGCTAGTAGCTATATGCATTTAGTATCTCAGTGGATAATGACTGGGCACTTAAAGAGAAAGGCACTTGTTTATAGTCTCAGTGTGAACACAAACAAAACTAGGACATATGTATATCCAGGTGTGACGAATTTCAAACGGGATAAAACACATTTCCTGGATTTTGACGATAGCTACTATCTGACTTGAGTTAAAGTAACCCCAATTTTTATGTAATTTGAGTAATGGTTAACGTGAGAATCTAACGTATCTGTTCAATCCCACATGGAATTAACCAGTTAAGTGGATTTTAGTCTCAGTGTTCATACTCACAGTACGACTTCAATGCTAGTAGTCTCCAACACTAGAATATTGTATATATATATAGAATAATTAACCTGACAATTCTATAAATTTATTGCAGATAGACCCAAGAATGTTCGACACAATCCTAGGAATATCAGTATGTTGTTTTATGTTATAATCAATACTTTTTTGACGGTATTGCCTTTTCCTTGCCTTTTTTTCTTGAACTCAACGTGTGTAATCATATTTCATTGATCCTATCATGTTTCAGAGAATAGATTAATTGTGGTTAGCAGTGGAATTGGGGAAGCGTGTTTTATCTTATTTGAGAATCATCATAGCTGAATGTACCAGCCATATCCCAGTGTCAATATTTACATTGAGACTCAAACCCAACATCTTCCAATTCAAACGCCTAACGCGTTATCCATTGAGCTAGTGAAACAAAATAGCAGCCAAATTGTTCAATGGGTATGATGTTTATGTCATTATTACTAAGAGTTTAAATTAACGCGTTGTCGATATTCAGGACTGGATTTTGACCAGTCTTTGTGGTCACATATGTATCATCTGTGATTTGCTTCGATATAACCATTTAATCCGTTTTATAGCTTGTCATCACTGAAAGAACATTATCACATCATTTAGGACAAAAACTCACTTTACCATACTGATAACAGAATTCCGCCTTGTCTAGTACAGGTGCATACATAAAAACTGACTCATATTCTTTGAATATGGATATTGTGTCTTCAAATTTTGATTGTGTTATCTCATTCTTGTTTTTATTCAATTCACAAGACTCCATAATCATTGAATGAATATTATCAGGTTTCATCCAAACTTCGCTTGCTGAATCGTCTAATATACCAAATTTATCAGCCCATTCATTTAAAAATTTATTTTTTAACTCATATAAACCATCAACACTACATTTAATTTTGTTCAAAATACTTTCATCCCATTGAAGATGATTTCGTTGTACCTTTGGTAGTGCTTCAAGTTGTATCATAGAAATCTAACAACAAGTAGACAAAAAAAGGCTGAACTGAACAAACTGAAAAATATTAAAGACACTGAACAAATGATCGCCATCTTATAAGTTATGCTATTTTCGTAACTAAAATCATTATGTTAAAAAGAAAAAAAATTATAAAATTGTCACGATAGATTTTAAAAGTGTAATATTCATACCAAAAGATCTACACAAGTTATTGGCCAAAACTATAATTTAGCGACAAGATTTCAACAATTATCAAAAATCCTGTGTATGCATTACAGAATTAAACAGAACCATGTATTAGTTGAACACCTAACCAAAAATGGCTGAAGCCGATCTCAGGAAACTGTAATCTGAGGGTGATTTTTGTCCATAAAATGGATCCTTAGATTGAGAGTGGAACATTAGCAACCCACAACTTTTAATTAATCACAACTACTAAAGTTCAAATAGTAATATAATAATTAAACAGCACCATGTTTTTAAAAAATTCACACCCGACATGAGAAATTAATAAAGAAAGAAAGAATTATATTTAATCGATTTTTTATTTCAACAAAATAGAATCAGGCATAAACAAATTAATAAATTAGTGGAAATAAAGATTATTTACGAATTACCAAACCGTTTAATATTTTCAGCTATCTGGGTTGACCATAATTTAACAATACCTCTTCGTTTACTTTTAAGATCATCAAATTCTTTTTCTATTGTATGAAAAGTTAATCCAGCTTGTGTTAATAAAGTTTCATTGGGTAAATGTTTGTGTTTAGTAGGTGTTGTCTTAATATATTCTTCGTACAAAAATGCAGTTTCTAATGAATTTTGTAGAATATTTACAGAAGAACGTACAATTATTTCCATATTATCAAGTTTATGCGTAAGTATAGACCATTGTGAACGTAGCTCTAATAATAATTCATCATTTTGCTCGTCTGAATTCATATAAGATAATTGTGATTCACCATATTGAATAGCAATTTGCTCTAAATTAACTAGAAGTGTATGAAATTCTTTAAGAAGTTGATTTATAAAACTGATTGTAGAGTCTATTTGTAATTGTAATGAAGATAATAAGGGATATTCAATATATTGATAATTCGTCATTATAGTTTCAGTAGAAATATGAGACAGTTTTATCGGATACATAAAGCAACAGGTTGTTGCGCTGAGTGTCCCATATTTTCGTGTTATGCGATAAAGCAATGGACGGAGAAAAAACGTGAAGAATTTACGTCCCAACATGGTATTTCTGAAAGCTAGGTTGAAAAACACAAAAGATAAAGAGATCAGTGATATGTTTAAGGAAGTATCACGATTTGAATATGACTATACAAATGCTTCACATGTTCAAACAGTCAGATGAAATAAGATATTACGATTTCATGTACACCTGCACAAAATTAATGCAGATTACAGACAATAAACGATGCCGACAACAAGTAACACAGTATAGGCCTGTATCTGTTGACAATCACTGTAACTACCCCACCCAATCTTGGGGGTGAGCTATAGCGAACATTCCGGAAGTTGTCATCCTTGCGAAGCTGTGAACATGGAAGTTTCTTAGATCAATTTAAGTGTAGTAAAACAGACGGATTTCTGTTAGTTAAGTACCTTCATGGTACAAAACTAATGAAACGGCAGGAGTCAAGTGTTGTGGCCAAAGTTCTGCTTTACCTTTACCGAAAATGGTTCCATTGAACTGAGCAGATTTGAGAACGAACAGTTTACACCCGAAGTTGTTTCCACAATACTGCTCATATCTAGAGGTGACCAATCAATGCTGAGGTTTGAAGAATTTTTGGCCAAACTTGAAATTAGCTTCTAGTCAGATGCTTTAGAGAATCCAATTCTTAGGCTTAAGAGAAACTGCATATTCATTTCAGACGAGTTTCTTGTCCAGTACTACCAAAAGATGCTGAGAATCGATATTAAACTCAGAAACGTGGTCTGTTTTTGATGGTTTAGGAGTGAACAGTTTTGCTCAATGAACACGCATTGATATATTATGAGTAAAGGCACATTATAAAAATAATCTAACTCACTGTCTTGAACCTTTATTAGATGTGGCAGGGGAAACATCTCGGTGGTGACTACATTGTAATTTCCAATTGTATGTAGGATATTTTCATGATAAGTTCGCATTACTAACATGGTGATTTATTAGTAAAGGCATTCACCTTCAAACTGAGAGACTGTGGTTTGGATTCCTCTATAACTGGGTAAGTTTTGAAATATCACCAAAGTAAAATGCCTTAAATTCTACCCAATAAACACGTTCTGTAGACTCTTCTCGATTCTTTTGAACTACTCACTATTGGTTATTAGATGTTTACGTATTTCATAGGTTATTTATTAATCACAGCTAAAACTTGAACTATAGTTCAAAATTAATTACTGTCACACAAGCACACCGACACATTATTTATCACCAAAAAATTATAATCGGACTGTTTTTGCAGAGTTGATACTGTAGTTTTCCGTTAAATTTCTCTGTAACTGAGAACAATGAAATCTCATTTAATGCCGTTTTGAAAAAGGCTGAATGACACTTTGCGTAGGTAAAACCTCATAGATCATGGAAGCGAAGGTTCCAGAAAAGCCTAACACATCAAGGCACGTTCAAATAACGGCCTATTTTAAAAACATCAAAATCTCCAAAAAGTTCCTAGTGGTCACTGTTTCTAAGTTTCAAGTCGAAGTAACGTACCATTCGAAAAACGTTCACACTCAGAAATAAAAAACAAAACGCTAATTATTCACAAAAACAAAAATAAAGTCGTATTGCGTTGATCCATGTGTCTTCAACACAATAATCTGAACTAATCCTTAATCATACAATTGTTAGGCGAAATATCCTAAAAATGCCGTCTTTTCACAGGTTTTGAATTTATAAGAATTTGAGTGGGATTCTTATCTTGTGTTTTAACATTCTTCATAAATTATGTTTTTTCACTAGATATCAATCCGAAATTATTCGATTTATTTGCATTCTTAGTTCAACCCTCTGTAATTACTAACAAGAAACTTCCTTACTCCCAACAACACAGGTATTACAATATACATTTTTTCAATTCCTTGTGAGAACCGTGTATATATATGCTGAATAATAAGTGGCAGTCGCTTAATACATCCATACGGTATGCCACAGGAGCATTTTTGGCAATTCCTTGCCATAAGGTACAACTCCTTAAAATCTCCGTGAAAGTAGCACAGCCACTTTATGTAAGCGATTTACCTGGTGATAGATCCTCTAAAATTTTACAATTATTTTAAAATGGACCTTTCTGTTACTCCTGTGCCTGTATTGAATGACAAGTTTATAAATATTCGAGTAGTGATGACTTATTTTCGGTAAGACTATAATTCGTGGACAACCTTTGAGTGAAGCTAAAGAGACCTTGAGAATTTCCACCCACATACTACGGCTAAATTAGGGTTACAAACCAGCGAGAGGACTTAGGATTATTGTTTACGGTTGGCAATTGGGGCTAAGAATCAGATATAGGTTTTCACCGCGAAATGACATCAGGTAAAATGCCAAGACACTATTTAATCGAATGAATGAATTTCGCGCCAAAGTTCAAGATCTGATGTTGTAAGTATAATTGGTTCGTCCATAAATTATAGTCTCGCCTTTGGTTTCTACTCAGTTTATTCACCCAGCATTATTCACACTACTCAAGCACAAGACCACATGAGAACAAACTTCCGAAGCGGATTACAAGTCTCTTGCTACTGCAGTAGTCAACTGGGATTTGAATGCAAACCTGAGGTCTGTTATCCCGTTCAACTTGAAGAGTACAACTCAATACTTTTGACAAAAAAAGAATCCGATAAGGAATCTCATAAATCTAAAGCTGTAAGCTGTTATAACCCAGCGAAGATTAAATTACAGGCAACTTCCGAGGACTACTAATGGACTAATATTCTATAAATATTCTTATTGTATAACTACTCAACAATTACATTATGTATATTTATATTCCTCTTATTACAAGCTTTATTTTGACCTATAATTTATTATTGTACGATTTACGGTTCTTAAGCTATGCTCAGTCTATTATTCACTGTCCCCCTCGTTCACAGCCACTTTTTGGCTTATTTGTGTACACATGTTATTTTCTATTTTATGGTACGTTGTGGTCTGTCTGATTGATATATAAACCGAGTATGCCTTAAATAAACGATCTGGTCTGATTCGATCTGATTCGATTCATATTACGGAAGCTGGTATTGTGTTCTGGACTCAAGTGGAAGGGCTCGGAGGACATAGGACCAATAAGGACGCTAAACTGCCCACACCGGTTGAACGTCATTGGTTGGCCTAGTGTGAAGATTCGTATAAGTCGTATTCGGATTCGTAGATAAATCGTGTGATAGAAAAGTCAGACATACAAGGGCATAACATAAGCTATGGTTATACTGATGCAGATCAATCTGTGGCTGAACTTCCCTCTTTCAGTACGTTTATTCATTCTCTTCTCCTACGAAAGAAAGCTATATTTCAGCGGTAATCCAAGAGGAAATAAACAAGTTGTACGAATGGACTATTTCGTGGAATATGCCACTTAATGTTGACAAAAGTGGATTTATTCACATTGGTCGCTGTCTTAACTTAAATCTGACTGTACAGACACATACACTCAAACCTCTTAACACTGTTCGTGACCTGGGTTTAAGATATAGCAACAGTCTGAACTTTTCTGAACACATTATATCTCAAGTATCCAAAGCTAGAAAGCTGATCGGATTGATAATGATAAACTTCAATAATATCGAATCGAGATTGTTACTATACAGAAAATGTATCTTACCCATTCTTGAATATGGTATTTTAGTTTACAGTAATTGTAGACATACTGACCTGATTAGAATTGAAGGTGTTCAAAGAAAGTTCACCAAAGCTGTTCTGGGGTATTCCGATAACAAAGACTATTACCAAAGATGTCAACAACTCAACTTAGAGCCTCTTTGGATCAGACGTATCAAATTAAATCTTGTCTTTATCTACCGGCTTATTAACGGTATTTCCTACTCTTCGGTATCCACCCCTTCATACCTTATGATATCATCCCACAATCTACGCAATAAGGAGAATATTCTAGCGATTCCAAGAACCCACACAAACTTACGTCAGAATTTTTTCCTTATTCGCTACTCAACCATGTGGAACAGACTGCCAGTGAACCTCCG